GGCAAGGGGAGGTAGGGGAGGGAATGGGCCAGTGGAAGAAAATGAACACTACAGGGAGCCCTATGAGCTTTGACCAAGAGGACTGTGTCTGACTGGTGCATGACATCAGCTCATCAGTGACCTATCCCTGCAGCCTTCAAGCCACCATGCAGATGGAGGCTCACCCTTCAGTTCACCTCCCAGCTGGGTAAGAATTTCTGCCAGCCTTTGAAGGGGAGTCATTCCATGAGCTGCTCTGTTCACAAGGAGCCAGTCCCTTCAATCCAGCCCACCAGTTTGGGACCTCTCTGCCTGAAATTCCATGAGAGTCAAAGAAGCTACTAAGCAGCACTGAGAGCTGAGCAGAAAGCTGAGATGAGAAACAGGTTAAAGTAAAGATGGTTCATAAGCTTCAACTCTCATGCCACCTCCAGTCAGTTGGTAGGGGCCACCTCAAGCACTGTGCTGAGAAGCTGCACGGAAAAAGGACGCGTGCCACGTGTGCACTGCCATTCCTAACTGACGGCATAGATCCCTCTACCCACTACGGTCTGTGAATGAGGGTATGCTTACTGAGTAATAAATGTCATTGAAGGTGGCCAGGTCAGAGGACAGAGATTTACAGTGGTTTTGGCTCTCATCCCAAGTTCTTGCAGTAAGTGAGATGTAAAAGCAACTCTTCTCACTCAGTATCCATCCTGAGGGACAGCAGGTATCTAAAAACCAGAAAGAATGTGACAGCACAGCCCAAACCCAAGAGGGAGATCTCCCCATTTGGGATGAAAGTGAGGACTCTGCGACCTGGTTGCTCACAGTGTCCCCCTCAGTCTAATCTCGGCACCTTTACTGACTTCTAACACTTGATCTTTGCGATCTTTCTTTCTTCGGCCTCCCCTAGTAATTCCGTTCCTACACACATTTAGGAAAAGCCTTTGGTATTCAACAACATCACTCCTTAACAGGCTGGGAGCTTTATTTTCATAGGGCTCATGGTACTACTACCGATTTCTGAATGATTGCAGTCTCCCCCCTACACCTTGGCTAACCTCACCTGGGCCCCCCATAAGTGTTCAGTAAGCTCTAATTCATCTCAGTAGGTCCTTAAGCATTCCTCACTGCATATTCAAAACTTTCCCATACTCCTCAAGCTGCTAGCCACCTCCCCTTTCCTCCCCACTCTTCCACAAGTAATAACCTTCGTTCCTGTTCTGCTGAAATTGTCAGACACTTGATGTGAACTCTCTCCACTTCCTTCTCTTCCACCCCAAAATTTGTCTCTTCCCTGCTCCTCTGTTCCTGATCATAAGAAATAAACATCCCTCTTTCTTCAACAGCTTTGTTCCATGAGTCCTACCTCCATCACTCAAAGATCATTCCTTCCCCACTCGCTCCCTCTCTTCTGTCTACATTTTCTCATGTCCCCACCTAGCTACTCTCTTGCATTTCTGTCCCATGGCAACTAAAAGGAATAAAAAGTCAGTGTGGCCACCATGGAAGAGGCTGAGAGGATAAGGGTCATGCTGAAAAGTAGGCAGAGACCTTGGTAGCCAGGTGAAGGACTTTTATATTACAAGGAAGAATAAGTCAACACGGGGTTTTACATAGAGGAGTTTTGTTCACTGGCTGTATCCCAAGTGCTTGGTCACAGCACTGGACATATAGTATTTATTGCATAACTTTTGATGTAATTAATTAACTGGAATGGCATGATCAGGGGCGCCTGGGTGGCGCAGTCGGTTAAGCGTCCGACTTCAGCCAGGTCACGATCTCGCGGTCCGTGAGTTCGAGCCCCGCGTCAGGCTCTGGGCTGATGGCTCAGAGCCTGGAGCCTGTTTCCGATTCTGTGTCTCCCTCTCTCTCTGCCCCTCCCCCGTTCATGCTCTGTCTCTCTCTGTCCCAAAAATAAATAAACGTTGGAATGGCATGATCAGATTTTGTTTTTAAAGGATCACCCCGGCTGCAACATGAAACGTGGATGGGGGAGGGAGGTGTGGAGGGATGTTTAGGAAAAACAGTGCAGCAAGCTGCCACAGTTATCGTTGCAGAAGATGGGGGTGGGCAAAAATGTGAACGAAAGTATAGATGCAGGGGTGGAAAATGGAGGGAGTTCCTCCGCCGGAGTCGGGCACTTGACTCTCAGGCACTTTCTGCTGAAAGTGACAGAGAAGGTGGTGGGGTAAGGAGCTATCGTGGAGGGCAAGCCACCACTGCACAGCTGCCAGGCAGCATTGAGGGACCGGCTGGGATGGAGACTAGCGTTCTGGTGGCACCAAGCAGAATGACCGCACAATATGGCACACGTGGGTGCAGGCATGCGCCAGGTGGGCACTTGAGTTCATCAGGTGATCAACTCTGGTGCACCAGAAGGTGTAAAGGAACAAAGGAGTGAGTGGTTCAAGTGATGGATAGAGAAGTGCCAGCTGATGCAAAGAAAACAGGAGAGATAGTGGGTTAGAGGCCTCAATGAGGTTAAAGACGTGTAGGGAAAGCTTGGAGGAGGTGGGTGTGGTCAGAGTGGAGGTCTGAAGGAGAGCCTGGGCCTGGCGGGCTCAGTTGGAAGAGCATGCAACTTTTGCTCTCAGGGTCGTGAGTGCAAGCCACGCATAGGGGGTAGCGATTACATCAGTAATACATGCATACATACATACATAAAGAGACACCTGGGTGGCTCAGTCAGTTAAGAGTCTATTGACTTCAGCTCAGCTCATGATCTCACAATTCGTGAGATTGAGTCCCACATCTGGCTCTGTGCTGACAGGGCAGAGCCTGCTTGAGATTCTCTGTCTCCCTCTCTCTCTCTGCCCCTCCCCTGCTCGAACTCTCTCTCTCTCTCTCTCAAAATAAATAAATAAACCTTAAAACAAACAAACAACAAACAAAAAACAGATCTTGGAGTTGAGATCGGAAACCAGCCTTTTAGTGGAAGAGCAGTTTAGGATGCTGGGACCTAGGGTGTAGCTGAGGGAACGGGTGACAGCACTGCACGGAACTGAGAGTCATAGAGAATAAGAAGGCTAAAGAAATGAGGACTGGGTGTGTCTGCACATAATCTTACTATCTTAAGCCTTGGGGGAGTTATCCAGATGCCCCCCTAAACTAGACAGAGCCTAACCTGGACCATAGGTCACCAGTCCGTGAACATTCCAGTTGCCTTGGCCCTGGCACCTCTAATCTCAGCCTGCTTTTTGCACCGCCTCTCTCCTTTTATGTGGCCCCCTCCCTCACCCCCACACACTGCCTGGGCTCCTGCCTTCAAAATAGATGAACACTCCACCCCAGTTCCCTACCCCACATTACCCACCCCCACCTCATTGTGAGTGCCACCCACACTTGAGAGCTTCAGCTACTTTGCCCCACCGCGCCTCATCAATCACTAATTCTTAACCTTTGAGGAATCTCAGATGTAGTGAGAAATAAAGCTATAGACCCTCTCTTTAGAAAAATGTGCAAACAACCAGTTTCACATCCAAATTCAGGGGGTTCCCAGATCTTTGACTCTGATATCAAACCACATGAGACCTGAGTTTGGTGCTTTGGACAGTGAGATCTGCATTGCTGGCTGCCACCCTCCTCTCCTGGAGGATCTGCCTCAGAGCTGGGTGAGTCGCCCTAAATCCAGTATGCAACTTGATCCTCCTCTCTGTTAGCCAAGGCTGCACAGCTTGTGTCAGCCACCACTCTGATTTACGACCCCTTTCCTCAACAACTTAATACGGCCCCTGATAGATAGATCCTGCCCCTGCCACGAGTGTGTCCTCATTTCAATCTGTCCCTCACGCACACCCTCCCATCTTTCCTCTCCCAGAGCAGATACCTGATAAGGGGCATGTGAACAAGGGCTTCATTGTATCCTTCATCCGGCTTAGCCTCTGCTCCAAGGTCCTCCTCTGCACCTCCTCACTTTGCAAGGCCTCCTTGGTCTTCTCCCTGTCAGACTGGCAGGCCTGTAACTGCTCTTGGGTAGCCTGGTGAACCCTCTGTTCCTCCTGTAGTGCTTCCTGACTCAGGGCTAGTTCCCTCTTGGACCCCTGCAGATCCTCTTCCCTCTTCCCCAGCTGGGTTATCTTTAGGTGGAGCTGCTGCCTCAGGCTGCTGTTACTGGCTTCCAGAACACTGTTCATCTGCTGGAGCTGCTGAGATACCTGTAGATCTGTTCAGCCATAATGAGATTTGGAGGACATCTTCCTCAGCCATGCTCTGGTGCCCTGAGACTTCAGCATCAGTCTTTTGTCTGCTCTTGCAAATTTTTGCATAACAGGCTGAAATATAGGATCTGACTGCCTAAAGCTTAAGGAGGTACTGGATCAGGTAAGGACAATTTAGGAAGACACGGCACTCTAAAACAGACCTGGCTGGAAACCAGACCAAAAGCTAAGGAGGTGGTGGTGACTGGGGGCCCTGCCCAGAGAAGGGCAGCCGCTGGAGACAGTAGGGGAGAAAATTGCTTGGGGTAAGTGGGAAAGGGGAGACGGCCATACTCACAGCGCACTCCCAGGCAGATGGCGGCCACCCCTAACAGCAGGCAGGCGAGGAGCAGGCCAAGAAAGAGGTACAGCGTGCAGGCTGCGCGGCCTTAGGGAGACAGTGGGATGAAGGGCAGAGACCCCCACGAAAGTCTATAGGCTGAGGGGCTGGCTGGGTGGGTGGTATTCATGGGAAAGGGCATCCCTCAGAGGACGTGGTGCAGGCATGGTGGGTTTTGTCGGGTAGTGGGTTTCCGCAGGTAGCGAGGGAAGATGTTCCAGAATAAGGGCTGGGATTGCTGCTGGTAAGGATTGAGGGGCGTGTCGCTGGTAAGATGGGAACTAAATCTCAGACGGAGACAGAGGACGGGGATATAGGAGTGGGGACCATCGTAACGGGGGGAGACGGGAAGATCTAGGTCAACCTGTGGGAAAGATATATGTGGATATTGGGGGTGAAAAGGCCGGGAAAGGGGGTCTCGGGGCTGCCCGCGCAGTCCGGAAGGCTGTTCCGGCAAACTCTTGGTACCAGACCTGCACACCGCCGGACAGGGCACCAGCCCAGCTGGGACCCCGCCAGCACTTCACTTCGCTATCACCTCCCGGGGCGGCAGCGCCGGGTGGGTGATGTGGGGGCGGCCGCCCAGCGGGAGGCCCAGCCGCGTGCCCGAGCGCGAGCCCTGCGGCGCGGGGAGGGCGGGGCGCGCAGGTGGGGAGGGCTCCGTACTCACCAGTGAGAATCCTCCCGGCAGCTGGTGACGCCACGGAGCTCCAGGACGCAGTTGGCTGCTCCGCCTGGAGCCCTGCGGACCGGTGGCTACTCCAGTCTGAAGATGGGAAGCCCCGGGAAATTCCTTTCTTTCCACCCTCTCCTTCTCCACCGCGCCGAGAAGCCTTCAGCGACACGCTAGAGTACGCTGGGACACGCTTAGCATTCTCTGGAGTTCTGCCTCTCCCCCAGGATTCTTGTGTCTCTCCTGGGTCTTACTATAGCCTCTCCCCGGGGATCCCCTCCTCTCCCTCCTGGGTCTCCCCTTATGTTTTCCGCAGCCTTCTCCACCCCACCCCCCACCCCCCCATCGGCCTGCCCCAAATCCTCTTCCTGGAAGCGCGTCCATCCCCCTCCCCTGCCCTCTCTTCTCTGTCCCATGACTCCCCACTTCCTATTCGAACTCCTCT